AATATTTTAAGAAATCTTCATTTCACTTTGAAATATCTAAAAACGGAAATTGAAAACTTATTTTCGAGAGTTTGGTAAAACTAGTTGTTTAAAATAGTTGTTAGAGGCTTTCGCCGGCCCTAGCGAGAGCTTGGGTGCGGACGATTTTTTCTTTCGCCGCCTTCTGTGCGGCGTAGCTCTTCGACGAATTCCTGCCGTCGTGGCACGGCTTGGTCGATTGAGAAGGAAGGCAATGGAGGACGAGGCGGACGATGGGCGCAGAGATGATCGAGATCTGGGAGATAAACAAGTGGGAAGGTTTGCGGGCACATATGGAGGTAGGGGTACTGGGGGGGGGGGTCGAAGACGAGCTATTGATCGAGGATGAAGAGGAAGGTGATACGGCGACCGGGGCAGGAAAGAAGGAAGAATTTCCGGTTGTGGGGACGATTCTCACGGACAAGTTCATTCGGTTTTCTTTCTTCAGGGGTTTCATGGCTGATTTGTGGCGTCCGGGAAAAGGTATCTCAATACAGGAAATTGGTGAACGGAGGTATCTGTTTAAATTCTTCCATTCTATTGATATGAACCGTGTCGTGGATAATGGACCCTGGCTGTTTGACCATAATTTGATTGTGTTAAAAGCTGTTAAATCGGGTGATATCCCGACTAAGATGTTGTTAGATGAGTTTGAGATCTGGGTACAGGTTCATAATGTGCCGTATAGTTTTGAAAATTTGGGAATGGCAAGGAGAATTGGGAATCTTTTGGGGGAATTTGTTTCCTGGGATGATAGAAAATCTGATAAAAAACGGGAGAATTATATGTGCGTGAGAGTTCATATGAACACAGGTAAATCTCTAAAGATTGGGACTACCCTAAGAAAAAGTAAGGGAGAAAGGTATTGGGTTGATTTTAAGTATGAGAAGCTGCCACATTTCTGTTTTTGTTGTGGTGTGATTGGACACGCTGAGAAGGTTTGTCTTCGGTTATAGGAAAATGAGGGGCAAGCTGTTGCTAGACCTTTTGGGCCGTGGCTCAGAGCGAGTGGATGGAGAACGAAGCCAAAGATGGGTAGCAAATTGCGGCTTTCGGAAGAGAGCTCCTCAGGCGGTGGTAAGCGCGTGGCAGGTACCATGAGGTCGGTACAGGAGATGGGCCCGGAGAAGACAAGAGAGAACGCTCAGGCTGAAATGGGGATTGCTATGAATCTAGGGGTGACATAAGAGGAAGGAGTGCCAGGAGAGCTAAAGAGAAGACGCACTTGGGAGGACCGGGCTAGGGAGGATGCTGCAAAGGAGGCTATGGTGCTTGACTTCCCAAAAAAACGGGGTTGGGGCGGGTGCTGGACTTCAGCCCCGCCTGATGATCCGATGATGGTTTCGGCTATTTTCGTTGAGAAACTTATTTTCTTCTATCGTTTTGCTTTATTTATTTCCCATGTTCTGGATGTTGTTTTTGTTTTGGTTGCGCTGTGTTTTTCCAGCGAAAAGACTTGTGAAACTAAAACATGAGATGAGGAGTCGTGTCTGCAAGTCATAGGCTATGTTTTGCCCAAAGTGGGATCAACGAATTATATGGCTTCTACGGAGGCGATTAATTCAGAGTCTGGTCCTTGGGCGGATGCTAGACAGGAGACTTGTTGTCACTTTGTAACCTGTTTTGGTTTGGTCCGGTTGGTCTGTTTGATTATGATAAGTTAAGCCAGTTTCGTTCAAAAAAAAATAGTTGTTAGAGTGTAAAAAGACAAATAAGGACATTACTATGTATTTATTATTTTTAGATATGTAATGAAATTTATTTTAAAAAATAGCTCCAGACTTTTACTTGAAAATCTAATAATAAATTGTAATGGCTGTACGTGGTATAATTGGTATTGGCAATATGTACAAGGTTTTGGAATCTAATAAATGGAATTTCTCGGTCGGGGATGGTGGATCGGAGTTCTATTCACAAAGGGCCCTGCTCGAGCTGTTGGATTTCTCGTCATTTGCCTGAGGGAACCATGATCAACCCTATTTCTCCTACCTTGCTGGGTTAATATTCACTGATCGATACACATAAATTCAATTTACATCTCCAGGCTGTTTGGTAATTGGCTTATCAGACTTATCAGTCAACTTTTTCACCAAACACATAACTCTTGTTTTCGCGCGCTGAATTGTGTAATACGTAGTAATAAGAAAAAGTAAAATTGAAGTTACTTTTATGGTTGTATTGGCTTAAGTTACTATAGATGACCAATTTTGCTATTTTTACATATAGTTTTTTATTTATTTTTTTAATAAAATATATTTTTAAAAATATTTTTTTCTTAAATCAGCAGAATCAGTCAATGTAGCTACTTCAGCCAAAATTTTATAATTTCAGCAGAATCAGCCGGTTTTCGTGTTATCAAATGGGCTCTAATATCTTTTAGTGATACATGCACCATGAATATATCAGGGAAGATGTTAATCAAAAAGGAGGGGAAAATCGAGAAAAAATGGGAGAACGAAGCAGAGTACACATATATATATGGATTTACAACTTTAAAAAATGAAAATAAAATTTCATACTCAGTATAAAATAGAAACGGAATTTTATCAATCCAGAACTTGAAGGATAGACAAATTGTCAATCTAGGACATGAAAAATGAAATATATCGGTAAAGAACCCGAATCACAGTGCAAGCGCATCATTTTGAATATTCAAAATTTTTTATTTGTAGTCAAAGGCAATAAGTCTCTTGTTTGTTTAGATCAATAACAAATTTTCACATGAATTGTGAAATTTTTCTAGGACTCTAGATTGCGTTTGTAGTTTATTTAGATACATAATCTCTAGAATTACTTATACCAAAAGTTACATGGATTTTTTATTTAAGATGTCATCACTTGGACATCTTAAATAAACTAATAATAATAATTTCATATAGCAGTTCCAGACTTCCGGTCCAAGTGAAACTCGCCATTTTCAGATACGGAACTGGTCGGGTTTAATGCACCGAACCCCCCTGTGATATGGAAATTCGGCGTATTAGTCTAATAAAAGAAAAATGATTACATTTTTGTATGATTCAGAGATTTTTGACATGTTTACTTGCATATTCAATCAAAATATTAGGAAAAGTGATTTTCAAATCGTTAAATTTATTCATAAAAGGAGTATTGTGCATGATTAATTAAAACACAAGGGGGTTTGACGCATATTTTAAATCACAAGGGGCTAATGCGCTGACTTTTTATATCACGAGGGGGTTTGGTGCATTAAACCCCGAACTGGAACCTTAAACTTGTAAACTCTCTTACAACCCGTTTGGTAACACTAAAATTGGTTGAATTGGCTAAATTGACTGATTCTGCTGAAATTTATGAATGTTTGACTGGAGTAGGGGTGCAAATGAGCCGAGCCGAGCCCGAGTTTATGTAGGCTCGAGCTCGAGCTCGGCTCGAACGAGCTTAAAAAATCCGGACTTGAGCTCGGCTCGCAAATATTGATTCGGCTCGATTTGGCTCGACTCGGCTCGACTCGGCTAGATAATTTTGGTTCGTTCAAAAGTTACAAGTTCGATTAGCTCGAAAGTTCGTGTTCGAACTCGAGCTCAAGTATGAAACAATCTTTAAATATTTGTGCTTAACATTTGCAAATTGCAATTTACATGCCCAATAACTAAACCTTACGGGAAAATAAACAAAATACAATTCTAACTTCAAGTCTCCACCCAGTTGTACTTCTAATATAAATCAAAAGTGGTCAACCATGAAATTTTGATTATTTTTGTTAAATTATTTTATAATTAATAATATCTCCCCGGTCCTCATATACATTTATGAATCAGTATTATATATATAGGGTTGTTCCTGTACATATGAATGTACAGGAAGCTCTGTACGGACAAATCCATCCGAGGCCCTTCCCGGTCGAATTTTTTGATGAAATTTTTTGAGCATGTTCTTCATTAAGTCTAGTTTATGCATAACAAATTTCAGCTCAAAATTCGATCAGGAAGGCAGTCAAATAAATTCTTGAAACATACTGCACATTATATGTGCGCACGTTATATGTATTAATACTCCATATAATACAAATTATATGTGTGCATATACAATATATTTTATCGTATATATTACATATACTAATATATACTCTGTATTATATATTAATTTGTATTGTATATTAATATATTACATATATTAATTAAATATGCACACATATAACTAGGTTCACGAGCTAGCGAGCCTAAAATCAGTAGGCTTGTTTATGGCTCGACTGCTTAACGAGCCGGCTCGAGCTCGAGTTTGACCGATCTCGATCCGAGCTTTGACCGAGCGTCTCACGAGCGGCTCGGCTCATTTGCACCCCTAGACTGGAGTGGTTGTATTCGCTGATTCTGCCGATTTATGAAAAAAATTATATTTAAAATATTTGTTATTAATAAATAAAATAAAATAAATCATGGAAAAATAGCTAAAATGATCCTTCATAGTAACTTCAGCCAATATAGCCAGAAAAGTAACTTGAACCTTACTTTTTCTTATTATCACACAATTCAGCGCGCGAAATCAAAAGTTACGTGTTTGGAGAAAAAACTAGGTAATAAACCTGATAAGCCTAAAAAAGATGTTACCAAACAGGCTCTTAAATATTACTCCGTATACACATTTGTAGCATGTCTAACAACATAGATTAGTATAATAGCTTCATAGATTCCTTAACAGGACACATTAGTAAAACAGATTTGCCAATTCCGTAATAAGATATATTAGTTCAAGCTAAAATATTTGGAAGCAGGGATCTATATATATAGTAACAACTAACAAGGGTTGAACTGGTGTTACTTTACTGATTGAATAGATTCATCATTCATGTCCTACCAAACCATTTAGTGATTTAGACAATATATTTTGTCCCCAATCATCAAAGTCTTTACAGCTTTCTCTCTTTCACCAAGTATTTGGCCTAATCCAAAAAATCAGGCTGCTAAAGACTTACCCTCACGAGTGAAACATAAGCAGAAAGAGGGAGGAAACAAAGACAGCTCGCCAAGAACATACTCAGTGTATTAAATTAAATTCAGGCATCAAAACATGTAGTTTTTTAAATTAAAAAAACGATACTCCCTACATATAAAAGATAGTGTGACAACATAATAAATTCAACATTACCAACCGAACATAGTTGGGATTAATTCTCTAATACATGTATGATGCCAGCTTAATTGGAGGGGGCTCCATTGGGCAACTTAGCCTTCAAGGCAGGGCCAGTTGGGTTAAGCTCATCCCAAGCTTCGATCCATGTAACCATGGCATCTCCTAGATTGGTGAAGTAATCATCAACCTTGCCCAGCTTGGCCTTTACTTGTTTGGAGAGCTCAAGGTAACATTTCTGGACTGTGTTGCAGTCCTTTGGGAGGGTGACGGACTGGAAAAATGGGATGATCTCCTCTTGCCAGTAAATGCCCTTGTATTCCTTCTTCAGGTTCACAAATGGGTTGCTTGCTTTGCTGTGCCAGATGTAGGGCAGCCCGGTCTTTACACCCCACCCAAAGTGGTCACAGATCACCTACACAGAAGATGAGAATGTATGAAGCACAAATTTACCATTCAGTTTGTTTGGTTAGTTTATTATGCTGAGGTTGTGACTCTGTAATTAACCTGGCTGAAAAATAATAACACTTGCTATTTTCAAAGGAGAGTCAATTTCAAGAAAAGTATAAAGGCAAGGACACAAGGGTAATACTTCCCAATAAAAAGAACTTCCAAGTTCCAGCAAAAAATGTCTTCCTTGGAAAAAAAGTGACTAAATACTTGTTGCTACAAAATGGGCGATGTTAGTTGTTAAGGAAGTTTGTAAAAGTACCTTGATGCACCACCCAGCCCACATGTCATCATAACGTCCGATGGGCTGGCCATCGCCCATGAGTCCGAAATACATAGCAGGGCCAATCAGTTCACGGTCAAATCCCAAATTCATACCGCACATGGGAAAGAGAGTGCCTTTTGGTATTGTCAAAACTGCATCAACATACCTGAAAAAGGCCACAAGGGACGATAGACTAGTAAGATCACATCAGTTAGTAATATCAAGAGAATTTAAGCAGCAGCACACCTAGTGTTTCTTTCGCGAGGTTTGACAAGCTGGGTAGGCGCATCATAGTCAGGTATATTAAGCCAAAGTCCATGTGAGACAGCAGTCGGTGCACCTTCACGGAGACTGAATGGGTATCCGCGGACAAAATCTGCACCATCTCGGTATGGATCATACAAAGTGTTGAAGAAAAACGGTGTTGCGGGGGACAGCAAGTTCTTGATGTGCTGCTCTAGTGCATTGATTTCTTTCCCAGATGGATCTTTGGCAACCTATGGATTCAATAACACGTGAAATCATTTATCCACAATCCAAAACTTAAAAACAAATCCTTTTGCTCTTGATATGATATAAAAGTGGGCCTAGCTCACCCGAAAAGATCCTGGTGTGGTTTACCTCCCATTTATATATCAGATATAGACCTAGTATATAGTTTATGCTAATGAGCAAATAGCCCAACTTTTAAATTATTTTCGGCCAAAAACACATTGCACATCATAGGTACTTGATATGAATGCTTACATACACACATGTATATATACTTTTGAATATATAGAACTATATGTCTATATGTGCTTGAGATGCTATTTGTTTAGCCTGGGAATATAACATCATTGTGAGGCAAGAGATCAGACACCCCTTACCAACTCATATCAAAACGAAACAAATAGATCCAGGAGTGGAGGGGATAAAACCAAATCATAGAGCCAATCCCTACATAGGTCATATATCGCTAAGGTTACATGAGATCCACAAGAAAAGTAGCAACCAAAATGACATGCCATGTTCGTTTCAGCTATGTTAAACAGCAATAGAAGCATGTCACTATCTGAAACCTTTTGAGGGCTACTTTCGAAAAGCAAAATAAGATTTGAAAAATAAAGTCAAATTTTAGAAATATTGTTTGCTATGTATATATATAAATGATACTCCGTATTCAAGATCCAATATTGGTGGACCCATCAAAGTCTATGACAAGTTGAGCATACAATATGTTCCACAATGCCGTGCACAGTGAATACAATTTTCCCTACTGCACAATTTTGAAATTTGACATTCAAGAATACAACGTATGATAACTCAGATTCTTCATAGGATCCTCTCAGCAAATCTTTGATGTCAACGTACATCATTTTAGCACATTAAAAGATAAAAAAATTGGTGAGCAGATTTAATAGAGCTTGAAAAGAAAAAATAACAGCATTTGAACCTGAATTCATCAGATCAAGATACCCAAAGACACATAAAGGTAGATCTGTATTAAAGTCCACCATTTGTTTAACTGCTAAAACTGATGAAATAAATTGAAGCCATGCTGCAAACGTATTTGATATTAATGACCACCATTGATCCAGAATACAAATCATACTTTGAACATATCAACAACAACAAAAATCTAGTTTTGACCTGAATATACAATAAAAATAAGATGATGTGTTTACCAATGCCCGGACACTAAATGCTATGATTAGGTTAAACAATTGACGGAAGAGGGGCAGAGACTTACAAAGCAGTCATCATCAATAGTGTAGATGTACTTCTTCTTAGAGACCATGTAACCAAAGCAGCGGCAAGCGGAGTCCTTGAAGGAAATGCAGGAGGCTTTGGGACCCAGAATCCGGTTGATGTCATTGCGGTTGTAAAGCTCGTAGTCGAACCCATCTGGTACCTGGATCGTCCTCGACGGGTCTCCGTCTTGAACGATGATAAGATGGTACGGCTGGAAGAACGGCCTCCACTGCTCCAAGAAATCCAGGTTTCGGATTGTGGGGATCACAATATCGAGCTCATCTTTCAGCAGTGGTGTCGCGGGAACTGAAGAAGATGGGTTCGCCATTCGTATACGGGTCGGATAGTTGGCGGGTCGCTCAACCGATGAAGAATTTTATTGCTCTCAGATGGAGATCTGAGTATATGTATCTGACACAAGGCGGGGTTTTAATATATAGACAAGAAAGTAGGGAGACAAGAAGAGGAAAAATCAAAAAATATCAATCATGTCCCTTTAGTTTCTAACATTATCAACCTCGACCCGGTAATTTGTCAATGCCCCGCAAGTGCCGCAACTATTTGTCTATTTTTCATATCTAAAAAAGTTGCTTTTGTAAAACGAATCTAAAAAACTGCTTAAAAATTAAAATATGAGTAAATAGAAAAATACAATTTGTTCACACCTTCAAGGAGGGTGAAGTAATGTCAAATAAGTTACCGTACTTTTACGAAAAACTCAATTGGCTCCTCGAAGTTTTTTGTGAGTCAATTGAGTCCTTAAAGTATTAAAAAACAACCAAATCTCCTATTTTGTAGGTTATCATCCGGTTTCCCTGTTAACAACCTAGATGGCATTTTTTATTTTAATTTTCTATTTTTTTTGAAAAAAATTCAATTTCTTTTTCTTTTCTCCTTTCTTTTTTCATCTCTTTCTTTCCTTTCTCTCCCAGACCGTTCTTCTCCCCCCTTATGCGTTTGTTTTTCTTTTCTTTCTCCAGCTAAAGATTTTAGCCTCCACCAGACCACCAATTCCGCTGCACCTACCTCCGTACTCACCATCTTCGCCCCGACAACCCTATCTCATACCACCACCTCCGCCGCCCCTACCTTGATACCCACCGGCCACCATCTCCGCCGGTCCTTACTCCATACCCACGACCTTCGCTGTTCGGACACCCCTACATCAATACCACCCCCTCCAGTCCTCCTCCGCCCATACCTTCATACCCACCGGTCACGGTTGCCGCCGCCCCTAACTCCGATCCAAACCCACAACCTTTGTTGCGCGGCCAACCCTGACGGCCTCCACACCCACTACCTCCGTCGCGGTGCCACCCCTACCTCCATAGCTATAGCCTCACAACCTCTTCTATGTTTCTTATGAAGACCTGAAAGGTTGAAACAAGGGAAAGGAGAGGATTTGGTAGGAGAAAGAAACAAAATGCAGACATGGGGGAGAAGAACGGGTAAATGGAGGAGAAAGGAAAGAAAGAGATGAAAAAGAAAGGAGAAAACAAAAGGAAATAGAAAATTTTTCAAAAAAAAAAAAGAAAATTAAAATAAAAAATGCCAGGTAGACATCTATGTAGGTTGATAACCGGGAAACCGGATGATAACCTACAAAATAGGAGATTTGGTTATTTTTTAGTACTTTAAGGACTCAATTGAATCACAAAACTTTGAGGACTCAATTGACTTTTTCGTAAAAGTGCAGGGACTTATTTGACAGTTTTCCCAAAAAAATTTCTTCACGTAAATTATAGTGAATCGGTAAATCAATCATAAATCCTTGTAGATCTGACCTTAAGTCTCTCGTATCTACCAATTGATGTACCCAATAATCAAGATGCATTTCCTTTAGCTCCGGAGAAAGACATAGATTCAAAGAGAAAAATTAAATTTGGGTATAATGTCAGATGAATCGGAAAGACAGTGTTCTGGATTTTAAAAAATTTCCGGATTCAGAAGAGAGTGTTCCAGATTCAAAAAAATGTTCCGAATTCAAAAGAGAGTGTTCTATCAAAAGAAAGTGTTCCAAAATTTTATAAAAAAGACGGGATTTTTTATCGAACCCCTTTCGCTATCTATCAAACCAAATTGGGGAATTTTTTTGTATCAACAATTGTTTTAATGTTTTTTTATTTTTAAATCCAATTTTTAAAACAAATATATCCATTTAAAAAATCAATTTAAAAATGGATGTTTAGAAAAGATAGATATTTTTAAATTTTTTTATATAAAATATTGGTACCATTGGAAAGATCATAAAAATTTATTAAAACTAATATTTTTTTTCAAAAATTGGATCATAAATAAAAATATTGTAACAAATTCAAAAAAATGAAATGTGATGCCACATGGTAGCAAGGGAAGGAGTAATTGATGTTAGGGAAATTATGTAGGAACAGGCGAGTACTTTTATAATATGTAGGAACTTTAAGCCTCTGAATAAAACTCTCATCGATCCCTGACATCTAAATTGTGCGAGGTATGCTCAGGCTTTTTTTAGCGATCGTATTCTTCGTCAAGATTGAATATGTTGTTGTTGTCTTCTGTTGCCATCATAGCCACTCTGTCGATCGGAAATCCACGATGCCCGAGTCGCACAACATCGGTAGATCTAACATATAAACTTGGTGGTCCTCGTCTAAGGTATAACCGGATTTAGAAAAAAACCGGATTTAGAAGGCCGCCTTTGCTTGTGGGTCGTCCAACATTGCCACCGCTAGTCGGTCGTCCATCACCGCCATCGGGCGCTTGTCTTCCAGCATCGCCACTTGTCGCATGACTCAGAAATGATGAATCGGCATTTTTTATAATAAATCTATTGTATTTGCTTATTATTATTATTTTAAAGAAAAAAAGGCTAACATATATTAATAAAATCATGGTTCAAGGAGGAAACAATACAATCAAGGGGAACATCAATCCAAACAAAACGACTAGACATAGAACCGACCGCTTCAGCCAAATCATGGGCTGCCCGGTTCGCTAATCGTTGCACATGAGAAAACTCTATGCGAGTAATACTAGCTGATATCTCTTTAATATCATCAACAATAATACCGAAAGCTGACTCGTTTCCCTTGCTTTGAATAGCCCTTATAAGTTGGAGTGCATCAGATTCAACATCAACTTTTGACCAACCAGCCGTTTTAATCCAGCTAAGAGCTTCCCTTATTTCCAATGCCTCCGCTTCACAAGGTAAACATTCTCCCACACAGTTTATAGCACCCCCTGCAATGAATAAACTTCGCAATTCCTTGCTATCCGTCCTAATCCAACGCTTCCCGTCCCATTTTTAACAGCTGCATCGGTATTCACTTTAATTCGACCTATTTGCTTATTATAAAAAACGGAAAATGAAAAAAAAAAAAAGACTTTGATGTTAAACTCAAATGTGTATAACACGTAAAAGGGGTGAACATAACACTTGAGTTTTTTATTTTTTTGATACTCAATTTATAAGTTTTGTATGCTATTTTGGTACTGATGTTATGCTCATTTAAAAATGTTATATCAACGCATATTTCAAAAGTAGCATATCACATTAGATTTACATATGAATTGATTATAGATACGAGAACACATATCATGAGGAGGTTTGAAGCTCAGTGAAAATGTTATGATATCAACTAACAAAACTTACGATTTTCATATCAATGTTCATTTTGTAAGTTATATATGTTCATTTGATACTGATGTTATGCTCATTTTAAAAATGGCATATCAATGCATATTTCTAAAGTACCATATTACATTATATTCACATATTCAAATTCATAGGAGTTGATAATAGATATAATTTAATAAGTTTTTATAAAAGAGAAAATAAGAAAAAGAAAATGAATTAAAAGATATGAAGTAGAGATCATGATGTTTAATATTAGACTTTTAATGTTCAACAGAATAGGTTTGAGGCTCGCTAAAAGGTACAATAATGTTCATTAGCGGAAGCCGCGGATTTCACTTAAATTACTAAAATGACACCGACTGTATGGTGCTCACCGTACAACTGGTTGTACGGTATACGAACTCCTGGTGTTCACCCTCTTTGGAGGGGGTGACCTAAAATGGACTCGTAAATAGGAATTTCATAATTTAATTTCTCTAAATCAAAGTAATATATTGTGTGTAAATAAGCATACCATCATATTTAGTAAATTGATACTAATAATCCCTACTTTTACACATTTTACAAAAAACAATCCCTACTTAAAAAGTTCACAACAATAATCCCAACTTGTTAAGTATTTTACAAAAATAAACCTGGTGCTAATAGTTTAAGTTTTCTGCTATTTTTTTTATTTAAAGTATATTGAAGCGAAGATATACATAAACATTGACAATATTACATTTGAGTTTAATCTTATATCTACTAAAAATTGAATTTAATATTCAATAGAAAAAATAGCGGAAAAGTTAACACCGCTAGCTCTCAGATTATTTTTGTGTAACACTTAACTAGTAGGGATTATTTTTGTGAAACACTTAACTAGTAGGGATTATTTTTGTGAAATTTATGAGTAGGGATTATTCTTGTAAAATCTGTAAAAGTAGGGATTATTGGTGTCAATTTCGCCTATTTAGTGTTTAGGATTAAGAATTTAGGATTGGGTTTAAGATTTAGAGTTGTGGCTGCCAGCGGTAGTGAAAGTTCGGGGCAGTGGAAAATCGGTGACCGGCGGTGACAGAAGTCTGACAATAGCTGTCACGTGGCAGTGATTAATAGCTCTAAACCTTGTAAGAGTAACTAGTATCGCACCCGTGCGATGCACGGGACAATTTTTGTTGTATTTTCGTTATGAGATATACATGTAGAAATATTACAGCACACACATTTAATATAATAAGATTTGTTTTATCATATTTAATATAATAAGATTAAAAAAATAAATGATATGAGAGATATATTAATAAGTTGTTGAATTAAAGAATTAATAACATTGTAATACAAAAAAGCTAAACGTTTTGAAAAACTTCTGGGTATACAACATTTATCGTTGAGTTACTGGAGGCACCATCGGGGTTGCATATCAATATTTTCAATCCTTCACGTTTGGTAACTCGGGAAACAGCAACGTAGAGTTGACCATGACAGAATACCGGGTTTTTTAGGAACAACCCAACATGAGATAGCGACTGTCCTTGACTTTTGTTGATTGTCATTGCATATGAAACCATTATAGGGAATTGTCTTCGCTGAAACTTGAAAGGCATTCTAACATCCGATGGAGTCAAATTCAACCTTGGGATCAACACTTTTTGCCCGGCAGTATGCCCAGACAGTATTTTAGCTTCCAACACATGACATCCGAGTCTTGTGATAACCAATCTTGTCCCATTGCAAAGCCCCATTGAATGATCTATATTGCGTAGTAACATAACCGGAGTGCCAACCTTCAAAGTCAACTCGTGATTTGGAACTCCAGAACATTTGAGACTATTTAGAAATTCAGGAGTATAGACATCAGCTAAAACATCCGCATTTGTGTCGGA